TGTCTAAATAATCCTGGGGATCCTTAGAAGATGCACCACTGAAGGTGGTAGTGAAGAGCTTGGTGAACCTGTCCAATCTCCACAAGGCATCAGCAGACATAGCTGCTCCATCACCGGTCTGAGCTACCACACCCGGTTGAACTGCTCCAACTGGCTGAGCTGCTGGAGTCTGAAACTGGAGAGCCAACTACTTCGGAGTGCGGGTAGCAGGAGTCTGGGCTCCTCCTCCAGCCTGAGAGACCGCTGGTGCTACAGGAAGTAAGCCTGCTCAGGTGACACTCTCCATAAGGCCCACTAGACGGACCAGAGCATCTTGGAGTACTGGGGTAGCAATGAACCCCTCTGGGACCTGAGGTGGGCCCATCGGAACTGCCTGGGCCGGAACATCATCATCAAACTCAACCTGAGGCTCCGCCGCTGGTGCTGGTGCTGGTGCTCTGGGCTGAGCTCTGCCCCTGCCTCGGCCTCAAGCACGGCCTCTGCCTCGCTCTCTGCCCCTCATAGGAGCTGCTGCTGGGGGCTCGGGCTGCTGATCAGTGGATGAGGAAGCGCGTATTCTCGCCATCTGCGAAAGAACATAGTAGAAATTCAATTAGCATTGAGGAACCGACATAAAAAAATAGATGTGAAGTTTTCCCTAACTTTGTAGCCTCTGGGGGATAAATACAGACGTCTCCGTACCGATCCATCAGACTCTACTAAGCTTGTCCGTGAATTGTGAGACCTAAGTAACCTAGAGCTCTGATACCAACTTGTCACGACCCGGATTTCCCACCCTCGGGAGTCGTGATGACGCCTACTAGTGGAAGCTAGGCAAGCCGATCATTTGGATTATTTACCTTTTTATCAATTTAATTTTTTTATAATTAATAACCAACATTAGAAAAACAACGGAATTTAATAAGTGAAAGACTGAAATGTAATATTTTAATAAAGATGCCAATACCAATCCATACATAAACTACCGAAGACTGGTGTCACAATTTTACAGACGGTCTAAGAATACAACAAACAAGGGTCCGAAATATAGATACAAACTGTTTCAGAAATACATAGAAGAAACAGTAGAGAAAGATAGAAGGAGACGCCAAGGCCTGTGGATGCCTGTAGGACTATCTTGGGTCGCCTGGATGGACTGAAGACAGCACCTTCACTGCGGTCCAAACGCTCCGGTATCAGTATCTGCACACAGTGCAGAGTGTAGTATCAGCACAACCGACCCCATGTGCTGGTAAGTGCCTAGCCTAACCTCGGCGAAGTAGAGACGAGGCTAGGACCAGACTACCAAATAAACCTGTGCATTTAAATCATATACAGCGGAAAATAAAAGCAGATATTCATAGTTAAAGATGGGGGGAGACATGCTACGGGGAGTACCAGATACAACAAAATACCAAAGAGGAACGTAAAGAAACCATAATGTAGTTGCCAACCATAATGAGGAAAACAAACGCAGCATTCACTTTCATTTCTTTCATGTTGCAGGCGTGCAACTCGCTCCCATTTCATATATCTCGTTGCAGGCGATCAACTCGCTCCCATTTCATATATCTCATTGCAGGCGTGCAACCCGCTCCCATTTCATATATCTCGTTGCAGGCGTGAAACCCGCTCCCATTTCACAGATCTTTACCAAATTTTACAGATTCAACCAAATTATTATTTCAAACTTGTACCGGGCTCTGAAACCAAAATACGGGCCCGATACCATCAAATTCAAACATGTTTCATTTCCAAAAACTCATATATATTCCAGAAAATAATTTTCTTTAAAAATTCATTTTTCGGGCTTGGGACCTCGAAATTCGATTCCGGGCATACGCCCAAGTCCCATATTTTTCTACGGATCCTCCGGGACCGTCGAATCACGGGTCCGGGTCTGTTAACCCAAAATGTTGACCGAAGTCAACTCAAATTCATTTTAAAAGCAAAATTTACTATTTTTCACAGATTTTCATATAATGGCTTTCCGGATACACGCTCGGACTGTGCATGCAAATCGAGGTGAGATGAAAAGGAGGTTTTAAGGCCTCGGAACCCAGAATTTATTTCTAAAACAAGTAATGACCTTTCGGGTCATCACAAAATTAAAGTCAGGGGTCCATGGTTTTAGAATAATATAGGCTTACTGGCTAATGAATAAGGACCAGCACACAGTATTTCACAAGCATCTTCAATAATATGAGATCTAATTATGTAATAGTCTTCATCATGGTAAAACAGATCAGGCTCAGCAACATGTGACCAGTGTAAATTAATGTACCTTTTCATCGCATTATACCCTGGTCCATCACCTAAAATATATGCAATCAATGCACACCTCCATTTGTTCTCTTCCTCTTCTACCTCTGATTTGTCTAATTGAACCATAGGCTGACCATCAACAATTTATGGTGGAATATAGGATAATGACATACCATTCATAGCAAATCGATTTTTCTGGAACAAGGTTGTCCATGGAGCTTTAGGAGCAGTTTCACTTGCTATCACCACCTCTGCCTTGCCTCTGTTACTTTCTCCGACGAGCCTAAGGACTTTTACTTGATTTTGAGCTGGATTGCTCACTTTTACTATTCCATTGACTGGCACTATCGAAGTAGTTGCTGCATGACCAATTGACACTGGAGAAGTTAGATCTAGTCTCTTAGAAATGTTAGAATGGCTCAGAGCAAAACCAGATTCACATGCAACACTTTCCTTAACTGGATCTGCAGTTTGAGTTGATGAAGGTGGAGTAGCTTCTGGAGATGGAGTAGCTTCTGGTGCTGCTTTCTCCATCAATGGCTGATTTCCAGTTACCATCGAGTTTACAACAGTAGTTAATTGGTATTTCCGAGGTCGACCTCGTCCTCTGCCTCTCCCTTTCGCCATGGCTACACAGGCGGCGTACGTTTAACTAACGTTCGCCGAGAGCGCTGCAAAGGAGTTATACTTTGCTGTTTTATGTGACACGTATAAACAATTTTTACCAACTTAATAATTAATGTTTATTATAAAAAATTTATATATAATTTTTTAGTGATCTGATTGAGCGTAAATATTTCTTATGCTAGTGTATTAGGACTTAAAGTCTAGTAGTGGTAATATCTAGGTGCTTCTACGGCTGAAAATAAAGAAAATAGTTGTGTTAACTCCTCAAGGAGTCGGGAGTTCTTTTCCCATGTTCTATAAGGTTATAGCATATGACACCTTTAAATTAGCATAACTAACTTATAAAATAATACTATTAATTTATTTAACTTGCATTGTTATGATATTCCAAAAAAGTGGCTAACTTGGAAAGAAGGCCGTATATATAACTGTAGAAGTGTATTATGGGACGAATAGTACTCTAACAAGAAAGTCTCAAAAGCCTGAAATTGACCTCATTTGCTTCAAAGTTCAAAGTAACAAAAAATCAAACACTTCGCACGCACTGACTAGTGACCATGGGAAACACACTGCAAAAACTCGGCCAAAATCATTCAGAACAAAACCAAGAACACGAATTGCAAGTGACAGAATTACCAGGTGAACCTCAAAATTTCACCTGCGAAATTTGTATCGAGCCTATGTTGTTACCCAACAAAAAATTCAAGAACCAAAATCTATGTGTTCATCCATTCTGTACCGACTGTATCATTAAGTATATCACAGTCAAGCTAGATGACAACATAGGAGACATTCCATGTCCTTCTCTAAACTGTAAGAACTTTTTGGACCCAATCTCTTGTCGGAATCTTGTGGGTCCAGAGCTATTTGTTAAATGGTGTGACGTGTTTTATGAGTCGGCTGTTTTAGGGTTGGCGCATTGTTACTGTCCGAATCAGAATTGTTCTGTTTTGATTTTGGATGAGTGTGGTGGGAATGCTAAGCGGTCAAAGTGCCCAAATTGCAAAAGCTTATTTTGTTTTCAGTGCAAGCTTCCATGGCACGCTGGGTTACGCTGTGGGGAACTGAGGGATGAAAACGACGTCGCGTTTCGTGTGCTTGCTAAGCGTAAAAAGTGGAAGAGGTGTCCTAAGTGTCGCCACTTTGTTGAACTCGTTGACGGTTGCAAATCTGTCCGCTGCAGGTTAGTTTGTTGTTTCCCACTCCTATTACGCTGCTGTTTAGTGAGCTTTAAAATAAGGCTCGAAAAGTCCTACAAAACCTTAGGCCTACACACAGGTCTGAGGGTGTCAATAAATATTTGAAAACTGACTAAACCGATTGAATCGTACCGCATCAAATTGATTTTTAGATTTCTTTTAAAAAAATCTTAGGTTTTTATATAAATATATAACTGTACTGATAATTAGGGTAGGAAACCGAAAAATACCGAACCGTACCAAATAAATTTTTTATGTGGAAAAGATATTTATATAGTAAGTTTAAAACTAATAAAGCATTAAATTTTTCATTGGGTCTTGGAATTATGAAAATTGTTATAAGACAACAAGTAATTAAACTCAAAGTAGTATTTCCTAAAATCTATTATGCTACTTATACTTAAACTAAGTTATTTCAAGTATCTTTATTAGCAAGACGGAAAGTGTTCTAGCGATTATGAGTAGCAAACTACAATATATTGAATATGTTTCCTTTCATACAATTTAGATTTATCTTTTTGAATATTTAATATAAACTTTATTCTTTGGTTATTATCTTTCCACTCGTGTGATTTATATTTTCTTTGTTTTTACTTGGTTTCTTTTACGTTGCTGTCGAATAGTTGATGGATCTATACTCTAGCCATCTTTCATATTTTTTTAATTCATCACCTTTAAATGGTAAAAATGTCTAGAGAGTTTTGTTAAGTCCTATAAAAGAACATATGTTATTGCATTCTACTTCTACTGGTGAATTTTACATGATATTTAAAAAATACCGAAAATTAACCGAACCATACCGATACCGAAGTGAAACCGACATGATTGGGACGGTTTCGAAAAGTTTAATTTTGGTTATACATAATAGAATAACCGAAAAATTGATATGGTACAACATGTCTAACCATATCAATTGATTATTAGTTTCAGCATGTCTAACCAACCTTCTCATCCCGTCCCCGCCCGACCCGTCCCACTTAGTTCTAAACGAGATGGGCCTATATTAAATGGTACACGAGATGGGACCGCCTGATTTTTTTTATTTTTTTTTGAAATAGAGTCGTTGGGCAACGACATTGTTTGCAAAGTTAGCCGTTCCCAACGGCTATAAAACGGCCATATATCCCCCCCCCCCCCCCCCCCAAAAAAAAAAAGCATTCATACCCCTCAAACTTTTAATTTAACTCCTAAGTTTATTAAATTACACTTTGGCCCTATGGGAGCGATGACGGCATGGAACTCATGGAACATCAATCAACATTGCCAACCAGAACAATGTCCGAGAAAAATTATAGATAAGTTATAACGAAGCTATATAGGAGCTTACAAATATTAGTATGATAATTTATAATTGGCTACTAAAAGGCCTAGTTCAAACATAACCCTTCCTAGAAGGTGGCTGCGTAGATTAGGTGATCTTCAAAAGAATTGTATTTGTATGTGAAATTTGAAAGTTCTATTAATAAAATAAAAGGCTTTAAACCTTGAGTTTTTTTTTATGAATTGTATTCACTCTTACTTAGTTACTTTATGGCTTAGAATTATATTAAATAAATTACAACTCTATTATAATTGCTAAAAAAATTGCATTATAAGTCTTTGTTTTAATATTTTATAAATTTTTACTTAGTTTTTTTTATAATTTATTAAGGTAAGTTTATTAAATAAGTAAAAAAACTAGCCGTTGCAAACTTTAAAAACGTAATCATTGTCAACTTTAAAAAAATAATCGTTGCCGAATTTAATGCTTAAATAATTATTATTTTTTAAAGGCACAGTTAGGGCCCACAAACCGTCCCGTCCCGTCCCCTTTGTTAGTGGGATGGGAGGGGCCTACCATTTCGTCCCGTTTAGGCACGTCCCGCCATCGTCCCGGTTAAATATCGTCCGTTCCCGTTGGGCAGCCTTAGTCACACCTGTGCTCGGTTAAGAATTGCGCTGTTTAGGTAATTCAAAAAGTTAACTTTATTGTTATATTATACCATAAGAAATGCAAAAGGGCTCCCAACTTTCAAGTGTTTTTAATTTAATTATCTTTTCATCTGTACATAGGTGTGGTGCCAAATTCTGCTACAAGTGCGGAGGACGAGTTTATGGTCGGGACTGGTGTGCCCTCCTTATTTGGGACTATTGTTGTCCTTGTAGTAGATCGTCTAAAAACTAGATTTGCGTACAAACATTTATTTCTATTATTTTGAGGTTCAGTTAGAAATATTAGAATATTAGAGTACACTTGAGGTAGAGGAAACTGCATAAACAAGAAAACATAAACCAGAAGGAAGTTTGTACAAATGGAATCCAAGTATAGTTAGGTTCTCATAGATTATTGACATACTAATTCAAATTGTTTCAAAAATTTATTGACACTTGATATTTATATCAAATTAATAAGCGTACGCGATATGTGTATCTCGCAGCGGCGGAGCCACATGCACCAAAGGGGTGTCAACCGATACCCCTTTGTCGGAAAATTACACTATAGCTCGGTAATCTTTTTTAAACTATGTATATATATATATATATATACACTATATAATGACACCCCTTAACTTCTTCTTTTCTTTATATTTGACTTATGTTGTTTTTTCCTATTGTATTTAAATATGAATGGAAGCATCTCTCAGCTTAAACTTTTTCCCAATAGAAACTTGCCATGCGAAAGTTATTACTATTGATTTCCCGTAATTGTAAATTTGTACGTACTAGTTGTATTGGTCAAATCTTGAAAACCAGTATTGTTTGACTCAAAAGATGTTAAGTTCTTTTTAAGCAAATCAATCAAAGAGATGAAGAGGTAAATCGTAGTCGAAGATAATAAACCCTAAGATTGTTTCAATAATCGGGATAGTAATAGTGATAAAAGAGACAGAGGGAGAGAGAGAGAGAGAATAACAAAGATCAGAGAAAGAGAATTAGTTTTTCTATTCCAGTCCCCCTATTACAAGGCTCGGATCCCCTTTACATAATGGGGGATCTAAGCTGAGTCATGAGAACGACAAAATCAGTGTACTCTATGGCGGAGCCGATGACAGGTCGAGGTCGTTCCTCCTCTTACCCCTGGGTCGTTCCTTCGTATGGTATCGTAAACATTCAGTGGTTGGTCATGTTGACGGTAGGACGTGATTGGTCAAATTCGACCACATACAGTTAGTCCCTCAGCTCGTCGGGGTCGCAACGAGATGCGTCCTCGATGGGCGGAATCAATGTTTCCGTCAGGGAGAGTTTGACTTGTTGACTTGATTCGACGTGACTGGTGGGAGACGGCAATCATTCCTGTCGGAATGTTGAAGTAAAACACTCTGCCTTGGGTGACATCGGCGTCCGCATATGTCATCATTACGCGTATTCTCGAGGCGGAAGAGAACTGACGCTTTGGCACATGGTTTCCCGCGCTGATTTGAAATCTGACGCCTCGATTCTGGCGCCACCCAACCTTATAAATAGGGGAAGGGTTTAATTTTGTTGAAGAACTTTGGTCATTCCTGAGAACTTTCCCAGCCCTCATCTATTGATTTTCGCGTTCCTGCACATTTCGTTCTTGTCCAGGGATTTTTCTTCTTCCTCATTTCTTTTCGCGTGAACTTTTTCGAACGAAAATATGCCCAAATCTCGCGGTACTAAAGAAAGGGTTCCTGAGGTAGCTCCGTTGAATGCGCCGCCCTCCTCCGATGGTGGGGAGGTGGAAGTGGAAGAGGATGTCAGTCCTCTGACGGTAGAAGCTTTGTTGACGAGGCACTCTTCGCCTCGGTGTGATTTCAACAAGGATTCCGCAGTTCTGGTTCCGGTGCGTTCTGAGATGGGACAGAACCACTTGGACGACCTCCGCGCAAAATACGGCATTCCAGCTTACGTAGAGATGGTTCCGGCGGGGGAGGATCATGGTGACGTTCACAGGCCGGGCTATTGTGCCTTCTACGAGTACCCCTTCTTGATAGGCTATGGTCTTCCCCTTTTTCCTTTGGCGGAGGAATTCTGCAGATTCTATCAAATCTGCCCGGCTCAGCTCACGCCGTACACGTTTAAGGTGCTTCTGCTACTGACTAAATATGCAGCGTTGGCCGGATGTGACATCTCCGTTCATCATCTCTTGCACTTATTTACAGCCGGTTTCCTTAGAGGGACCATGGTGCACTTAAGGATTTGTGGTACAAAGGGGTTGGTGGTTGGAACCGACGACCGGCCGAGCCATAAATTCTGGCACAAATATTTCTTTGTCAGGACCGAGCATATGGTCTCCAACCCTACCGGATTTCCAGAAAGATGAAATAAAACACGTAAGTGCTGTAGTTCATCAAGTTCTTTGTTGCATGTTGTTATCGCAGTTCTAACTTTTATATTACAGCCATGGCCCGTCCGCCCCAGCCCGTTGCCGGTCTAAGGAGCTGGGTCGCCGGCCTGCTTCCTCACGCAGAGGAAACCCGAACTTGGACTGCATTCATGCAACGTTATGGCCCTCAAGTTTCTTCAGGTAAACTTCCGATTTTGCTTTGTCGGTTAGACGACCTTGCCTAACCGTGATTTTGTGGTCATAGGTCGAGGTGTTTCTAGGAAGAAGGCGACAGTCCCTGCTTCCGTGCGTCCTACTACCGCTGCGAACGCTCGAGATATTCTATGCAAGTCTGTTCGTTAGGGTCGTTCTCTTACACCCCATCAGGGAGCTACGCTCACGGCTGTGGCTATAGGGGAGCCGACTTTGTTGACATCGGCCCCACAACCCGCCGACGAATCTTCTCATGGTGAGGAGCCGCCGGAAAGAAAAAGGAGAAGGCTAGAGATGGCAAAAAGGGTGGCTACTGAAGCCGGCGATGGTGGAACATCTCGGGCGGCCCCGGCGCCCATATTTATGGCCGATGCTATCCGATCGGGGAGGCCGGCACGTGAGGAAAGAGTCAGCCCAGGGGTTAGTTCGGTGCGCTCCGCTGAGGAGGGTTCTTCGACTAGCGTCGGTGTGCCTGACTTGAAAGCCAATGAGTCGGGTTCCGATGTTGCCCCCGAGGACGTAAACGAGTTTTTGGGTTGTCACATCCGTGTGGAGGCGGCGACGGACGGATCTGACCGTCATATAACAATCCCTAGGGATTGCAACTTGCTTCTGAATAGCGAGCAGGTTGCATCATCGCTTACCTTGTTGTGCGCCGCCCCCGAGAATGGGATGCTCAGGGCGATGAACGATATGGAGCTGTCTCGGAAGGTTGCCGGCATGGCTTTACAAGTAGGTTTCATCACCTTACTGCTTTTTTCTTTGCTTATTGTAGGATGGGTATGGAAATATGCTTACTCTTGTTTTTTCTTCCCAGACCCTCGTCCTGGAGGTGGAGAGGGACCGTCGTGAGCGGAAGAGGACGGACTTCTATAAGAAGATATTGAGGAAGTATCGAAAATGTCGTGCTAAGCATCAAGCGGTGGCTGATCTCTACCGACAGGACCCCGAGTTCCAAGTGTTCTGCGAGGGGCTTAAGGAGAGGGAGGCCCAATTGGAACGTAGGGGGGCAGAACTAGAGGAGACGGATGGGGAGCTAGTGAGGGCCGTTGCTCGTAATAGTGAGCTGGAGGCTCTCCTCAGGGTGAAGGATGATGAACTCGAATTGAATCGAGGGGTGGCTGCGGAGAATGCCGACTTGCAGCAGAGGGTAGCTAGTCTGACCGCCGAGCTTGGTTTTAGAATGGCGGAAATCGACAGACTTAAGGACGAGCTGAGTGCTAATGCCGACAAATTGACCGCGTTGCAGAGGCAAGTCGCCCCTCCGAGGTCTGAGGAAGCGGAATGCCATTCTCGGCCCTCCTCGTCTCGTCCCCCGTCTGGTCAGGGCCCGCATCGTAGTGCCTATGAGATGTGGGTCTATGCAGAGGCTCGACTTGATGTATACAGAGCTTTACATGCAGAGGGTCGAGCGACGGAGGCGGAGGTTCAGGTGGTGCGAAATGAAGCGCGCCCAGCTCGTGAATTATGTGGGTATTACCTGACTCTCCCGATGAGGAGGATGTTGCTTCTGAGGCTGTCGATCGCCTTGACTCAGACTCGTGGTATGAGGACGCTTATCCCACAGGGGGTGGTAGTTAGTTTAAGCTTGTATATTTTGCTTCCGCATCTTCTTTGGCTGTGGGGTGTACCAAAATCTGTCTGTGTGGACGAATGTAAATAATTTTTGTTGTAATATAAACTTTTGTTTATTTCGCTTCGTCTGTTTGTTGCTTCTCCCTTTTTGTTGTTTTTGTTTTACATTTAATCTTCGAGGATATTGCCTTTCAGAAGATGTCGAGGTTTGAACGAGATCGAACTGACGTCGATGGCCTTTAGCCGTTAGGATGTTGCTTCGACTATCGTCGAAGTAGTATCCGTCGTGATTCGAACGAGGTCGAACTAATGTCGATGGACTTAGCCGTTAGGACGTTACTTTGACCGTCGTCGAAGTAGTATCCGTCGAGGTTGAATCAACTTCGATGGCCTTAGCCGTTAGGACGTTTGCTTCGACTATCGTCGAAGTAGTATCCGTCGTGGTTCGAACGAGGTCGAACTAATGTCGATGGCCTTAGCCGTTAAGACGTTGCTCCGACTGTCGTCGAAGTAGTATCCGTCGTGGTTCAAACGAGGTCGAACCAAAACAATGTCGATGGCCTTAGCCGTTCGGACGTTACTTCGACTGTCGTCGAAGTAGTATCCGTCGAGGTCGAACCAATGTAGATGGCCTTAGACGTTAGGATGTTACTTCGACTGTCGTCGAAGTAGTATTCGTCGTGGTTCGAACGAGGTCGAACCAATGTCGATGGCCTTAGCCGTTAGGACGTTACTTCGACTGCCGTCGAAGTAGTATCCGTCGTGGTTCGAACGAGGTCGAACCAATGTCGATGGCCTTAGCCGTTAGGACATTTGCTTCGACTATCGTCGAAGTAGTATCCGTCGTGGTCGAACCATTGTCGATGGCCTTAGCCGTTAGGACGTTTGCTTCGATGGAGATTCGACTTCTGTTTATACAATGGAGATCGACACTTTTGTTCATATAACGGAGATTTCTGCTTATACAATGGAGATCGACTTCTGCGTATACAATGGAGATTGACTTCTATTCATATAATGGAGATTTCTGTTTATACAATGGAGATCGACTTCTGCGTATACAATGGAGACTGACTAGGGTAGTCCCTTTATTATTTTGGTCTAGAGACCGTGTTGATGGACCGAGGTGATGAATTGCGCTTTTGATCCACGGGGTATCCCCTTTGCCGCCTCGTTAAAAACCTCCCCGAGAAAACCCAATCGGGACAAAACTC